TTGGGATATGTTGTTCAATTCTCAAAATAGTTTGAGAACATTTACATAATAATTAATAAATAATAATTAATTATAAAATAATAATTTATCTGATTTTATAAACTGTATGAATATGAATAGATGAACATCTGATTTTACTAGTATTACAGCTCATTCCAATACTAATATTATATTCCCCCATCTAGAATATGGTGAAGTTATATTATTTGCCCTAGGAACATATCAAATTCAACAGGCAAAGTCCTATTATAGTGAACATGTCAGGTTTCATGGAGGGTATCGAATAATAAGCAGAGAAAACATTAATGTAACAGAGTATCATTTGAGAGGAAGTGGAAATAATTCACTTATAAGAGGCAAAATCAAATCCAGACACATTTCGAGAAAAGTATATTATGTTTATATATTAATTGAAAATAATTTGTCTGGAAGGGAAGTTATAATAGAGTATTGCTGCAATTGTTTAGTTGGTAGAAGAACAGTTGGGTGCTGTGCACATGTTTGACGTTTGTGTGGTATCTTGGGTGGGCCAGGCATCAGCCGACAATACCAGCACCTGCAGCATTCCTGGACGCTGTTTAATAAAAAGTAATTTACTCTTTTTTATAGAAATAAGGTGACGAACAAGCACACAGTCCACCTGATGGTAAGTGGATGCTGTGGCCTATAGACATCTACATTTATTTTCAATTGAAAATCAAAATGCAGATGTGTTACCAGCCCTGAGGACTGAGATAGAATGCCTTGTTTCCATTAAAAAGGGTCTTCTGGTTCTCTATACTCACCATTCGAAACACAGCAGCATTAAGCTGCTATTTTAGTTTGGTTTCTATCATGGGCACAGCATCGAGATGAGGTTGATCCACCTGCATCTTTTATATGATATATTACTATCAAGTGATGATATTGGAAATACAGAATGATGATTATAACCTTAATGCGTATTAATATTGTAATATTAATGATGATTTTTGCCATAGTTGCTACACTTCTGGCAACCAAAGTTTTTTGTTGTATTCTATAGGAAGATGCCGCTGCTCATCTCCTGATATTTTTATTTTACTCTGTCGACTTTTACAACACCATATGGGACGGGGTGGCAATTCACGAAAGGCCTGTGTAATATTTTACATTATATATTTAGTTTAGGAGGCCTATGTTGAGCAGTGGACTGTCGCAATGATGATGAATAATGATCAATTAAAATTGTAATGTTTGTCGTTTATTTTACCTATTTCAATTTTACTGTGTGCCTTTATTTTCTGTTATATGTGCAATTTATAAATAAACGCCGAGCAAAGTTGAATTTAATGCTCTAGCACCCTGTTTATCTCTTTTAATTGACAATCTCCTTCTGATTTATAATAATATAAATGGGTAAGTATCTCAAGACATTATATTTTAATGATGTTTGGAATTTATACTTGCTAATAAATGAATACTTTAATAAACAAAGGGCCCGCACTGCACCTATCTGCTGTGTTATTTTTAAGAAAGGACTTATAAAGTGCCAAAGATTTTTATAATAATAAATGCAGTGATATTATACATGATGTTTGGGATTTATAGGACAGATGTAGGGTGCGCTTTGAGAGATACCTTATTATTGGGTGATAAATAGTTGTTGTATACACCTTAGTTGTTGGTTCCACCACATATTTTTATTTAGCAAACACTGCAACATGCTTTAAGTCGCGTGTATGAAGTTATATTATTTGCCCTAGGAACATATGGATTCAACAGGCAAGGTCCTATTATAGTGAACATGTCAGGTTTCACAGAGGGTATCGAATCGAAGGACAGTTGGGTGATGTGCACATGTTATGAAGCTTGTGTGGTACCTTAGGTGGGCCAGGCATCAGCCGACAATATTGCCAGTGCCAACATCACTCCTTGATGTTATAGATATATGAGAGGATGATGAATAAAAAGTAATTTTGTCTAGCCTACTTGTTTCATTAAAGTACTCCTAAATTCTACCATTACACTTCATTTATTCCTGTAACCTACCATTACTCGATTTTTCAATGCATATGCAACTTTAGTATTGAAGACTGAAAGACAGTAGGTATCTAGCGACTCTCTTCAGCTAGAATTAAAATGCTCAAACTACTAAAAAGCCTTGAAATCTTTTAGGAAAGACTTCGTGTGATAATAATTACGCCATCCTTGTTTTTACACTACATACTGTGCAAGCTAGTGCAACACATGCAGGTGTAGTTTTTATTGAATTATCGGTCATAATTTGTTGTCGAAACGGTCAACGGTTCACGAGATGGTTTGACAGACGGCCCTTTTTGATTTGACATCGAACTCTAGGAGTATGGTGCCCATACGTAGGGTGCGCTTTGAGAGATGTTCTATTATTGAGTAATATAATTATTTTAACTACACTATTAGGTTACGTCGCAGTCGGATAAAGCGTCCAAGCAAGGTTTTTCGTTATAAATCAAAATGTACAATAAATTGCTTTTAGAAATAACAAGACTTCGTTTCGACAAGTGACAAAAACATACTTTATGAATCACGCTTTCTATAATATAGCAGAATATATGAAATGTTCATTTTCTGACTTGCTTGACATGTAAAAATAATCTAAATGTATTTTGTTTTGTAATTTTAATAATCTAATGTAATCTTATATCATTTGTATTGATTGTAATTTTGATTGTTATATTTAAAATGGCCAATAAAAAAAGTAAAAGGTATTTGTTGATTCAGCCTTAAAAATATTGTTGACGTTATTATAAAAAATCGTGGCTATTTAGATATTATTTTTAAACGTGATTGTGTTTACAACATAAAAACAAACCAACCTAACTATAGTTTTTGGGACATGAAAAAAAAAGTCAAGTCCAGCTCCTATAGAAATTTGGCCATCCTCCTTTGTACATTGCACTATCAAACGATATTCTGTGACTGGTAGCATTAAGAAACGCTATGGTGGAGGACGGCGTTGTACTGCAACGGCACCAGCAGTCGTCGAAAAGGTACGTCACCTAAGGTACGTCACGTAAGGCACACACGTTGCAATGATTAAACACAAGTATACAAAAAAGAAACATAGCCCATTCTTGTGATAAATACTTTCTATGTCCGCCCCGCATCACAAAATAAATAATAGTAGGTACTACGTATCCGCACAGTTTGTTATAAAGAATACTTTTTCAGCGACAACTTACTACCCAATTGATATCGTTACATTCAGATGCCCCATATATATATATATACAATATTTATTTTACGTGATCGTTTAAAACGTTATATGTCGAAATTACTTACTCAACTGTGATGTGGCAAAAATCGCAAGCTGGCTGTATGTAAATTAAAAATAGAAATCTGTGAAATGTCTTAAGTTTAACAAAAATATGGATTCTTAGTAAATGTGGGTTGACAAATAAATACATCCTTAATTTTACTCACATTTACAAAGAAAAATTATGTAATGCTAAATTAAATGTACATGAACACATCATCAACATCTTAATTATCATTACTCTTTGGAAGTCCACTGTATAACTTAGGCCTACCTAATGTAATGCCACAATGCACGGTTCTGAGTTCAACACATTTAGCCCAATCTTTTATGTATTTATTTAGAATGTGTAAATTAATTATATAAAAAGTAAAGTTACAGCCTATATACGTCCCACTGCTAGGCACAGGCCTTCCCTCATTTCTGAGAGGGTTTTAGGGCAAGGAAGTGTCCGCCGCGCTGCCCCAATGCGTGTCGGCGAACTTCACATGTCTTCGAAATATTTTTTTCCTGATTTCTCAGACATGCAGGTTTCCTCACGATGTTTTCCTTCACCGCCGAGCACGTGGTAAATCAGCACTTAAAATTGCAATTAACAATTTCATTGGTGCCGGCGGGGATCGAACCCGGGTTACTCGCGTTTTGTTATATTTACAGCGAGCGTTAACCATCTGAGCTACCACGGCCATTAATATTATATGCCATATTATATTTTATACGCAGTTAATAACGCAGGATGTATTACAACATATCAAAATATCCTCCTCACCTGGATGTGTTGCGCCCTATTGAATAATGAAAGAAGCTCTGACAGTTGTCAGTACTCTGACAGTAGTCTCAAAAACTTATGATGGCGAGCATCATTTCTAGTTGGTGTGTGTCGGCTTTGCGGTCACCAATCTAGCGTAATAATTATTGACAAACACTTTAAATTATGCTGGCCAGTTGGCGTATTTCTAAAAAGTTACATAACCAGGAGTCAAAGCCAGAAATCCATCTAACTCAATATATCAGTGAAGTTAAAAACTTTGATAAAGCTGACTGCACTGTTAAATCAAATTTATTTGGAAAAATGATGTTTGATAATTCACAAGCGAGCAGAAAGTTCGCATAGCAATAATAATTCGTGTTAGAAGTGTTCTGTATAAGTCGTAAAAGTGTTTTGTAATCCAATTGTAATCTACGAAACGGTGCGAATATTGACTCACAACGAAATTCTCTTCCTTACACGCAACACATTTAATATACGTAACAATATTTATAAACTTGAATGAAACTAAGCGGTGCATATAATTTATAATCAGTTATGTAGATAGTAAAATAATAAATAAAACGTTTGAATTTACATAATATGCTTATAAAAAATATTTGTTATAGACTTAGCACCTACAAACGGAACTATTCAATTACAAACATTGTAAGGTTTTGGTGTGTTTATAATTGTTAAATCACTGACCATTTCCAATGTTTTGGTCAAAGCTCTGTCATTCTGTGTGATCTGTTTTTGTATGGTTTTAGATATTGTGAATAAACTAAACTAATACATTCGAATTCTAAAATCGATAATTATAAAGTATTAGCTTTGTACATAGTGGGACTCGTTTTATATAGATAGGGGTAGGTATTTCTGATACCATACAGCGTGAAGTGTAAACCCAGTATATTTACTGCATTCCGTCTTAGTCCTCAGAAGTGACAACGTGTTCATTTCAATTTAAAAAAATATATTAGCGCGTGCGATTACCTGGTGATAGAGTTAATTCATCGTCCAGCCTCGCTTCATAGGAGTAGAGAGCGCGACATCGACCTATAAACTTTTGCGCTGCTTCCCCGTTACTGTCACTCTTTCCAATATCAGTCAGGTCCGTTGAGCTATCGGTCTGTGACGAAAATTCGTCTGTAAAATAATAAGTGTACATATGCAACGACGGTCAACTTGATGTAAAACAGATACCTACATTAAATAAGGAAGTAATTTGTAGAACATTCAGTTAACCTTGCAAAGTTATGAAACATTCGATTATCGGAATATTTTGCTTATAACAGCTTCGGTTGTAACAGTACTTTAAAAAGTATCTATCTATTCGAGAAGAAGTGATTTATTCTGAGTTTAATCATCATTATTATCATTGCAGCTTATCACAAGTCCACTGCTGGACAAAGGCCTTCCTCCAAGGAATACCACCAAGCGCGGACCTGGGTCTCTAAATTACTTAGTTTAATATATTTAACAATTAGTGTTGTATGTATCTTGTTTTCTTACCAAAGTCACTGTCATGTTGATTGGACAGTCCATCTCCAGCACCGCGTTCACTCCAATCCAACGGGCTTTCTGGCGGCGGTGGTATTTGTGGTGCCAAACTTTTTAACGGAGGAGTTGGTAAATCTGCACAGACCGACGCACTCTTATTATCTGTGTTCTTTTTAAACGATAAATGCTCTATGCGAAGTTTACTCGACGCCCTGCTCATGATGGAGTCGCGTCTCTCCCGTTCTTCAGCACCGTTTACGCTTTTCGTCAAAGCCGTATAGTTGGGTTGTAGGTTTTTGTTCACCTCATTTTGATAGTCTTCTTGAAGCCATGGAGGCACCTGCAATTTTATTACGTGTTATGATAATATATTTGCATATCTGGCTTTTTGTCAACTAAGATTTATTTACTTTAAGGATGCTCTGCTGAAGTCCTTGTTTGTCTCTAATAATTTGTATATGGGTGGCGAGGGGATGTTGCACTGGAGACCTGTTATCAAGTTCACTTAGACTGGCTGATATTTTATACCGAACCGCTTCTAAATATGTTAGCATTGACCTCATCTGAAAGTAAGAAGGTAAATAAAAATAAGGCAAAACAAGTATAAAATATTGAATATGCTACGGAGCAATAGTCTTACGTGATATAGTTTGTCTGCAACATTCTGTTGAGAATCATCATTACCAAATGTTGGTGTTTGTTTCATAGCCATAGAGAGTTTCTCCAATCCCTGCTTGGACTTGCGTTCTCGATCTATGTCTTGTTTTACTAATTGCAAAATTTTTAATAATGCCTGTAAGTACAACAATTTAGGTTTTAAAAGTTACAAATTTATAAATTGAGCACATTTGCTTATAAACATTAATAAGTACACACTTGCTTACGGCGTTCCCTGTTCATCGCGAGAGTCGTATGTTCGCAGTAAAAGTCGGGCAAAAGTTGTTCGCTCGCTCCAGTCGGCGACGATCTCACTCCGCGAACTACTCGCATATCAACATTAGCGTTTGCGTTTTTTATGGGACTTACTAATGCATTTGTTACCTGTTTTCAAAAACGTACACATTATTTAAAAGACAAAATTGCTAATAAAAGCTTGATAGATTATGATTTTACCTCCGCTAGCTGGGGCGGCACCGCCGCCGTCAACCTTAAATAGCAATCGGCTGAGCTCTTCAACTGAGCAAGTCTCTCTTCCTCGAGAGATTCTAGCATCCCAGCACCTTTCACAACACTTGTCTCCCATTCTAATCTGAACAATGATAAGTTTAAGTTTTTAAGTGTTCGTGTAACAAAACATATAAATCAGTTTTGCAATACTTACCTCGCTCGTTCCGCTTGAACGCATACATTATAATACTCAACTTCAGTCTTTTTAACAGCGTCTTCAGTCTTCCTCTTCTTAACTTGTAGCTTTGCGGCGTCTCGCTCGCTTGTAGAGTTAGCCAATCGTTCCGCTCGGGCCGTACTCAGGATCGAGTGTGGAATATGTCCAACGCTTGAGCTGCGTGACATGCGGCTGCAAAAAAATGTATTTCCCCTGATGATTCGACCTCAAAGCCCCCATATGACGACGGTCGCAGAGCTATCGCATAGCAATATTCGCATAGATAATCGCATCGCAATTAAAGTAACAAGGATCCTTTTACATTATAAATCGTTAGAAACAGATAAGGCGCAAATAACGCAAGTTAGCAGACCTAATATCCAAAACGGCGTCTTGCAATTTTTCGTTCTCCCTCGCCGCTGCGTGTGATTGGCGTTTCGACTTCGCTTCGGCTGTTCTCCAGTCAGTAAGAGCACGTGTCGTTTTGTCCACATTTCCCTCGATCTAGGATATTAATGAGTAAAGATGTTACTAGCATAATTATATAACAAATTATATATAAAAATTATATACATAAACATGACATCACCGACCTTTTTTCTCAATTTAAGTTGATTATCGATAATGTTTTTCATTGGTTTCACTAACTCTTCAGCCAAGGCACTGGAGTAGTTTCTGGAAAACAAGTAAGGTTTTGAAGGAAGTTTCGACTTTATTATGTTAAATATGCGGTAGTGACCTAAGGGAATACATAAGCATTTACTGCCATTTGACATCCTAAAGGCTACATGTGGTAGAGCCACGCTGCAGCTATATTATGGCTGTAGCACGAATGGGTCGGCATGAATGGAGAAGTACCACGCTCTCATAGAATACCAGCGTAAAATAGTAGCTTAATGCTGCTGTGTTTCGTATGGTGAGTGTAGAGAACCGGAGACCCTTTTTACTGGAAACGAGGCATTCCATCTTAGTCCTCACGGGTGACAACGCATCTGCATTTTGATTCGTAATCGAGGATAGATGTAATGGGCCGGAGCAACCACTTACCATCAGGTGAACTGTGTGCTCTTTTGTCACCCTATCATATAAAAAAAGACTGTGGGAAAGGCTAAAAAATCTCCACCGATAGGTAAATAATCTCGTATAGATACCAAATATAAAATAACCAGAATGTTGACAACGAGCAGCGTCAAAGAACTGAAAAAATATAATTGCCAAAGCGATCGCCAATTCGCTCGCCAAGCGTGGCGTGTCGGGCGAACCTTTCGTACGATATGAGAGGCAGGCTTAAAGAAATGAACTGATACAGTCTCATACAAGAGAAATAGAACAAGATAGCAAGTTATTAGATATTTTCATTTTTTAATATCATACGAGGCAAACAAGTATGCTTCTCACCTGATGGTAAGTGACTACCACTGCCCACCAACACCAGAAGAATAGCAGATACGTTGCCGGCCTTTTAAAAAGAATGGTCTCATACAATACCTATGTATTTCCGAACGTTTTTCCATTTCTATAGCGACGTGTTTCCACGCATCTGCACAGGAACCGACACTCTCTTTACATGCCTTGCTTAACTTCGTGCCAAGTTTTGCGAGACATTTGGAATAGTAAATCTCCGCTTCAATCCTAGAGAAAAATATTTATTCTATTGAAACAGATGGTTGGTAAATTAACCTAACGAAATATTTAGAATAAATATCTATGTTATCTTCAAGACGGATGCTTTGGAATCCGTTAAGTAAATAGGCGATGTGAGGGTACCAACTTATTTTAATACAACATATTACACACGAATAACTTATGGCGCAGTCGGGTAAAAACACATAACAATGATTTTTTTTGTTTTTAATTCAATCATACATGATGCTCTTTTTCTTTTTTATGGTCACTAACGTAAATTTGTAGTAGAGTCAAACGTTGCATAATTTTGTTGATACGATACCGAAGGCGTTTTAATGTAGTAAATAATCGGCGAAACCGTCGTCGATACCATTGTACACATTTTTACCCAATTGCCAGAGCGTACAATGTTTTCAGATATTTCTATGCACAAAACTAACTATTTCTTTGTTGGTAATGATAAGTATAATTATATATGATATTAAATATTCATCAGAAACCTCTCTGAGTAACAAAGTAAGATTGAGCTGCACTGCCTTCTCTTTAAGTAACTCGGAAACCATTATCTACTTTTTTACTAACGCACACATCTTTTTTCTTTTTTATCAGCCAGTAAAAACTCCCCGCTGGAAGCACATATATGCACGTGGTGCATGCTTATAATAAGTTAGGCATGATTTTGGATTGGTTATTGTGTCACTTAAAATGCACGCAGCGTTCAGTCTTTCATTTCGTTCCGTCTGGTCTGAGATAAATCTAAAAAGATATTTAAAGCAGAAATATAGATAACATTTATTAAGAATTATTATTAAATAATCAATGTAATTATGCAACAAATTTCTATCATTATGTATGTAAACAAAATAATAAATTACCTATTACTTACTTACACAAGTTTATTAAATGAAGTTTACTTTTAACATATTTTTATTAAGGAATCAAAATAAATTCAAATTGTATACAAACAGTCTCATAAAATTTTCCGATAATTTTTTTTTTATCGGTGGTCTGCAGTTGAAAAAAGGCGTTCTGAGCAATAATGATTTCTTATATTTACATCGTGACCATGAGTGCCGTGACGTGCTCGAAACATTGGGAATATAAAATAAGTTAATATACGCGATAAAATCCGTAAAAACTAGTTTTATTTAAACGTTCTGAGGCAACTGTGATCGTTGCTAATTTTTTAGCTCTTCTGCTACAATATTGCCTGCGACCTTTGAGTATTAAACCAAGCCTGCGACCGCTCTATATATTATATTTTATCGTATATCGTATTTTTACATCCCTAATTTTCAGTAACTACAGTTTTTGTAATTTAATTTTAGCAATGGTGAATGTATGAATTCTCCACAACATGGGATTAAACCTCTTGTTAGTTTGTGGATTTAAAAAAGGCGATTCTCAGGGCAGGTAGAGTCACAAACAATAATCAATAACTCATTGTTTTATCGATCCGTTGAAGGAAAGTAAACGTTACAAAGAAAAGTTGATAAGATGCTTATCTATTGCGTGCACTGCACAGCGACTTCCACACTATTTGACTTATACAAGGTTATATAACTTTTCCTTCTATACGTATAATGGCATCTTATGATATTGTAGATGGTTGTTAGAATGTTTTTGAATACGTTACAATCTGTTAACATTAACGTAAAATTTAAAATCAGTATCTGGTACAGGTGTTGTTGATTCAGCAGAAGACAAGAAAGTAAACTATAATAACATTTTTTTCTTGGATAATTAAGGTTACGTAAAATTATACAAAGAAATAAAGAAAATATGTTTTCCTTCTTTACCTTTCTTGAAGTATTGCCGCCAATTCTTTGCTAAAGTCGCTCCCTTGTTTGACATAACGACGAAGTTCATCGAAGCCGTTTTGTGCCTAGAAAAAGTTAAAAGTTATTTTTTATAGAATGAGTGTGATAAACGAGCACACAGACCAACAGAATGTAAGTGCATGCTATAGTCAATAGAAACTATTCTTGGTGAAAAATCAAAATGCAGATGCATTGTCACTCCTGAGGAATAAGATGGAATGCCGCGTTATCAGTGAAAAGAGTTCTTTACTCGCGAACTGTCGTACTGCAGCTATATTTTTTTTTTAGAAATAGATGTTTTTATATGACTAAATACCACCTTTTTGTTGACCACTTTAACTAAGCTTAAATATGTATTTCTAGGAGTGGTTGCGACTGTAATTGAATGGCGGATTCGACTTCTAAATTCGTCTTTTCAGTTTCGCAGTCCGTATCCTTATCTGTTAGGACTTAGGATACTGTCACCTCTAATATAGCTGCAGCATGGCTATACTACTGCTTAACCTTACTGCTCTACTATAGTTATTCTATGGCCAACACCTAAATGTAAATAGCCGTAGTCATCATAGAGGAAAGTAATATATCGTACAGTAGTCATTTTCAACAACGTGAATTACATAATTTAAGTTTTTTTTTATAAGAGTAGTAATGCTAAACATTATTTATGATTTTAAGCGTGTTTAGCAGTTATTTTCTATGTATACAATGCGATCGATTGATCAATCGACGAAGTACTGTAACAGCAAATTTCTTGTTACCTATAGCAGACATTACGTGACAATGACACGCGCGTCAACTGATTTCTGCTTTATGTAATCGCAAGACGTGACCTTTTACTGTTCAGTTACCGACTATTTGTATGCTATGCTTGTTTTCTAACTGTGACTAATGGGCATATAGTCCACATTAATTAGTGCCTGCAGCCTATGTACACCTGTAATCGTCTACGATCAAAGAATAAAGAGAGCATCAGATGCGTTGTGATCTCCTCGCAGGCTAAGGTGATATCCCTCAAGGCCTGTTTTTTTTTGCGCCCGAAGCAAATATGGGCAACCCTCCGGAAAGCGGGGGAGGGAGGCGGTGAATGCTCATAGCATACCACGCAGCCGGCTGCGTGGTTATGTGGAGACTTTTACCCACTAAACACCGCCTTTTAGGAAATGGCTTAACGATCTGACTAGAGATCTCTAAGCCGTATACGAACGCGACCCTCCTTGGCAGAAAGGAGGGCGCAAGCGGCGAAAAGCCGCTTAGAAGAGTGCCTAACTAAGGAAGATTAATGGATGTGTTATGTAGGCTCGGCCTGAGCCGCCAGGAGGCAGTTCAGGTCAGCCGAAAGCTTGTTGGGGGGGTCCGAGAGAGAGTTTCTCGGTCTGCGCACACTATAGCGAGTGTGGATAGGGGCTGCATAGGCAGCTGTCTCACGAATGAGATGATTTGGGTGGGACTCTGAGGCTTTGAAAAATCTCTCAGAGAGTGATTTAATGAATTGCTGGATTGTTGGGAGCTCTAAGTCTCGATGTAGGTCGGCATTACGGACATAATAGGGCGAGTTAGTGGCTCTACGACAGAATAGATTTTGAACTATTTGAAGTTCATTTATAGCTTTGGGCTTAGCATGTGCAAAAATGGGGGCCGCGTAGGTCATGACAGGTCGTATGCAGACCTTATATAGGGTTCGCTTGTTGCGGAGGGACATTTTACTGTGTCTGCCCAACATGCTGTTGAGCCTACCCATGTAAAAACGTGCGGTGCGAGTAACCTTCTTGATATGGGGCTCGAAAGTGAGCCTTGCATCAAGGGTGACGCCTAGGTATTTGGCTTTAGTTTGACATGGGACAGGGGTTCCTAACATCCTGATTGGCGGAGTGGTGGTGAGACGACGTCGTTTATATTCGAAGCAAACGGCGGAGCTTTTCTCCGGGTTTACGTCGATACGCCATTTTTGGAACCAAGCTCCTAAGTCGCTTACTGACTTTTGAATCTTGTTCCGAATCTGTGGTAGTGAGTTGCCTTTGGAGTAAAGGGCTGTGTCATCTGCAAAGAGGGCTAGTTTGACACCATTCGACGGGATAGGGATGTCGTTGGTGAATAGTATGTATAGGAGGGGAGCAAGCACAGAGCCTTGAGGGACACCGGCTTTTATTTGACGGGTAGAGGATAGCGTGCCTTCGTGTCTAAAACGAAATGTACGATCCTTCAGATAGGAGGCTACAAGGCGAACGAGACGGTCTGGGTGGCCTAAGTCGTACAGTTTGTAGATAAGGCCCTCGTGCCAGACTCTGTCGAATGCATTGGCAATGTCAAAGAAGACCGCGATGGTATTTTGACGGCGAGGGTAAAAACCGCTGAGGATGTATTCCACTATGCGGTGAACTTGTTGGGGGCACGAGTGTTTGGCTCGAAACCCGAATTGTTGTGGGATGACAAGAGGGTCGCCGTCTGTGGGAAACAAATGGCGCCTCAAGCGCACGAGAATGACTCGTTCGAAAAGTTTGCCCATGGCCTTGAGGAGGCTGATGGGACGGTGATTGGAGGGGAGGTGGAGAGGTTTGCCTGGCTTGGGAATGCCAATGACAGTTGCCTCTTTCCAAGAGGTGGGAAAGTAACTGAATTCGAAGCAGGCGTTAAAGATAATGGCCAGTAAGGCGATTCCTGCTCCGGGAAGTGTTTGAGGGCTTGGTTGGAGATACCATCCGCACCCGGTGCTTTTTTGGGCTTAAGTCCTTTGATGGTAGATGAAATCTCATCTTTGGACACAATGATAGGGTCAGAGGCGGTAGGGTGCGAGTTCCTGCGTCGGACCTCGTCCTCCACTATTTGGATGTGTGGGGGGTCTCAAGGCCTGCAATTATAGTGGCTCTTATACCCTTCACAGCAGCCAGTGATTGCTCTTCTTCTCGTCTGTCGGAATATGTCAGAAAGCAGAAAAGCTACACTAAAAACGTATTACATAAAAAACCTATTGATATAAAAATAAAATTCGGATCAGGCTTTGATAAATAATGAGGATCTTGGCCAAATTCTGAAAACAGTAGTAATTACATTTTGTTACAACTGGACTAATATTTATTAATTTCTTTATATTATTAATTTCCCTATGTGAAAATCAATAATTTTTAAAAAATGGGTAAGTTATTATTTTCACTTCGATTTTTGAAAATCGAGTTCTCATCAGATCTCGACGTTTCGAGGTCCTAGGAAGCTATTCTGGCTATTTTTGCGATGATGTCCGTAGGTATGTCTGTATGTATATGTGTGCGTGTGTGTATACATGTAGTACATATATTAATATACATCTGGCCATTTTGACTACAAAGCATGCTAAATAAATAGACGTATATGTATACATGTACTTACATACATACTCAAAAAACCTTCCCCTTCTGCTCAGGCAGTCGGGTAAAAATATATAGTGTAATGGTCGCCACACACAGTCAGTTCAACTGATCATTCCTACTGATCAGTCTTAACTAAAACTGTTGTCATTTTTAAAATATTGAATTTTCGATATAATGATAGTCATAAATATATCAATATCGGAGTTTTATATGTAAGTTTATTTATCGATATATCGAAAATCAAATATTTTAAAAAATATCAACAGTTTTAGTTTCAACCGATCAGTTGGAATGATCAGTTGAACTGACCGTGTGTGGCGACCACAGCGCACATCACGATAATATTATTAATATTTTTGTTAGATATACTCACAATACGGAAAAATAAAACTTTAACTGTTTTCGCATGTTAATGAAATAGAAACATAGACCAGCATAAACTTGATATACATAACAGTATATAATTAAATTGAAGGCATGTAATATTTACTCTGTTTGTCTGTTTACCTTTATGTATAAGGGCAATTCTTCAGAACGACTTAACCGTTCCATGGAGGATTTATTTGCAAAATCAAAAAAAATGGTAACTTAAATGGTTTTGAAAAATCTCTAAAAGATGTAAGTAGTTTTTAACAAAGTTTTATAGCCTTGCAATTTTACATAAAAAGGTTCTTACACAATATCCATTTTCCAACAAAACAAAGATTGTTAAGGATGTTAAATCAATATATGTAAAAAAATTATTTCACATATTTATCCGCATCACATATCACAAGAATTAGTAAGCTGACGTGATCATATAACTCGAAGGACCGACAACGGATGGGGAGGAAAGGTTTTCGAGGGCAGCCTCGTACCTGGGTATAGGATGACCCCCCACTAGGTGGAGGACGACCTGGTAAGACATGCAAGAAGTCGATGGATGCAGGTGGCTCTGGACAGTGCTTTGTGGTATTCCTTGGGGTAGGCCTATGTTCAACAGTGGACTTGTGAATAGCAGTAATGATGATGATGATGACACACTACTTACAAAGTTTACGAAATAATTGTGAAAAATACCTAATAAGTTTAAATAGATTTTCTATAATTTAACTACTTGTCCAAATACCACTAATATGCAAGGTTTTTGAATAAGTTTTGCGAGGACGAAGTTGCAGATAAAAGCTACATATTACTTGTATAAAATAGATTTTTTATTTGTGACTTAGCTATAAGGAGTAATCGTTAAAAGAGTAGTTAACAGTCAGTTGTAGACAGACAAGTGGTAAAATAAAATATAAATAAAATGAGAACATCATCAATGTAGTCGAAATGCAACGATTTTTTTAAATTCCCGACATTTCGTGTGCCGTCAGTTTTAGAATATAAGTAGTAATTTTGAATATAGAAATAGCCGGGCTAACAATCACATCGGGACGTCAAACACGTATTCGAATAATCGAATACTGATTAATCGATTCACAAAAAAATCGAAGTCTAAAAAATCGATTTCTCAAAAATCGGTATTTTTTCAATTTGCTTTCAGAGTATATATTTACAATACCTATCAAAAGATACAAGTAAGTACAGATTCCACACTTTATTTATTTTTTATTTCTTTAATCCATGAAAAAGAGGCGAAAATACTGAGAACTGAGCAGTTTTACGAGTCAGTTTTACCAGTCTTTCTTTATGAGTTTAGGTACATTCACCTAATTGTAAATACTTTTATAGTTCTTATAAAA